CCCCTCCTGGGCTCCAGCTGCGCCGGCCGGGGGCGCAGGGTCTGGGGGCTGCCCGGCAAACTGTGAAGCCGGTAGCGCTCGGGCAGCCCTTTTCGCGTGGCTGGGAGTGGGAGGGAGGAGGGGGAATGCGGGGTGCTCAAGGGAGGGGGCGGGGTTAGGGCGGGACTGGGGGTGGAAAAGGGGCGGGGCCAGGTCCTGTGGAGCATCCTCTTTTTTCATTTTTTAAATATGGTAACCCGAGCTAAGAGAAGGCACTTTCTGCGCTGTCCCGGTCTCTGGACAGTCTCGGGAGGTGGGGGCACTTGGGGGAGCCGGAACAGCCCAGGGACTCTGGGGCATTGGGGTCAGTCCTGCTCCGCAGCGCTGGGGAGAGCCCTGGGGTGCTGCGCTCAGCTCCCAGCACCTCATTCCCAGCGGGACCCCCCAGCTCGCGGGGAGCTCGGAGACCAGCCCCACAGGCCCTGGCATGGAACGTGCTGCCCTGGCTGAGTGCCGCCCCCCCAGCTATGACAGACCCCCCCCACACTGCCCCGCCGTGACCTGAGCCCCCCCTGGCCGGGACCTGCCCCCACCCCCCACTGCACCATGTGACCTGAGCCCCCCCCCTCCAGCCCCTCCGTGACCTGAGCGCCCCCCTGGCCGGGACCTGCCCCACGTGACCCCGCCACGCTGACTAACCCCCCCCGGGGTCCCCTGGTGAGAAAAACACGCGGGTCCTGGGACAAAACGCGCGATGACGTCACTAATACCGCCCATCCCCCCCTACCTGGGCTACCGCCTCCGGCCCGCCCCTCCGCAGCCTATTGGTGCAGTGGGAAGTGACGCCACACACACTTCCGGTTACTCGAGCACTAGAGTCCCGTGACTTCCGGTCACATGCACAATCGGGCGGGCTTTATACATCACGTGACAGTCACACACCGGCCCCCAGGGGCGGAGGGACCCCCCCCCCGCCAGGGCTCCGAGCCCGTGTCCCGGCCCCACTCCCCGAGCCGCCCTCTGGGCGGGGTAACACGGTGCCCCGCGGGGCGTGAGCGAGGGGCGGGGCTGCTACCCCCCCCCAGCAGCACAGAGCCCTTCCCCCATCCGGCTCGTACCGCCCCCCCCGGGTTAGAGCGTGCCCCCCCCGGAGCCTAGAGCCCAGATGAGAGGAAGAAAATATCGGGGGGGGAGGTGCAGGCAGAGGGCAACCACCCCCCCCCCCCACCCCACCCACAAACAAACACCGAACC